GCTGCTAGGATGGTAAGGGAAGTAATCTGTAACCTGCAAAGTAATGACAATGACATGGCTGTGTCGAACTTTGGAAGGAAAAGCTGGTTAAATGGCATTCTCCATAATACTGCGTGAGCTCGTGCTGGAGAGGAACATTAGCCAAACACAGCCCACTCCCATATGCACCGCTCCCCCCGGAGGATTTCTAGTAAACAGCCTTCATTCTGAGAACATTTCCATTCAGACAGCGTCCCAGACACTCTACCAAGTTAGAGAATGAATAACAGCAGATGGAGGCAGAGATTAGAGGTGGAGAGGAGGGGAGGGGGGAACCACATTTAATGCTGAGCTCTAAAATGAGCGGTGCAGAGAACTTGGGCGCTGAAAGTTATGTTTAAGCTGTTCTGAAGCCTTCCCCAGCAAGCAGCAAGACCCTGTGCCCAGATCATAAAACACAGGCACGCTCCAGTTCTCACCCCTCAGGGTGCAAGCTGGCTGGGGGAGAGCTGGGTGTGACTGTGTGCGAGTAAATCCAGCCATCCTCCCTCTCCTCCCTCCTCTGCCCTCCAGCCATCGAAGCAGCATTTTTGTGCAGTAGGGGATCCATTTCATAGGTATAGGGGATCAATCTTCTTACCAGGCAGACACTCCACTCTCATTTATGTGCCCTGTGATTTAAGTGTTTATGTTAAATGTCTTTGCAGCAGGATATGTGGCACTAGGGCCCAGGGGAGAGTTAGAAGTGGGTTTATGAGCAACTAGGTAGGGTGGTGAAAGGGAGAGAAAAGCTGAGAGTTATTTTCCATATGCTGTACAAAACTGTCCAGGTGAGACCTATTTTAAAGGAGTAACAATAAGGTATACATGAGTTTATTTTCTTCCAATATTTTACTAGGAACATTTACAGACATCTAGGAGAATGAAAACATTTTCTAGTTAACACATCCCCAGCAGCTAGATTCTACCATTAACATTTGATGTGTCCAGTCCATGTATCCATATTTCTTAGTTTTTAAACTGGAAACATAATCACACCTCCTTTAAATGTTTCAGCATTTAAGTGTTTGATACTTGCCTCTGTGTGTGTGTGTGTGTGTGTGTGTGTGTGTATGCGTGTGTGTGTGTTTGTGTGTTGGCACTGTCCCTGAGCTTTTCTTTTTTCTTTTTTTAACCCTCAAGGCTAGAGCTCTACCACTGGAACCATAACTCCGTTTTTTGTTTTTTGTTTTTGGTGGTTAGTTGGAGATAAGAGTCTCATGAACTTTCCTGCCTGGGCAGGCTTTGAACTGCGATCTTTAGATATCAGCTTCTTGTGTAGCTAGCTAAGATTACAGGCATGAGCCACCAAGTACTCGGCAAATTTTGGCTTTTATTTTTAAAACAAAAAATGTGATGCACGTGACGGATCTTATATTAAATTTTATACTTAATGTGATGCATCTTGTATTAATTTTATATTTAATGTGAAGTAGGGGTAACACTTTTTCTGTTTTGTTTTTCACTGATGACAAATTAACCTAGTACCATTTGTGGCAAAGACTTTTTCTCTTTCATTGGATTTCTTTGGTGCCATTGTCAAAAATCAAATGGTTCTACCTATTTGCTGTGTTTCTGTATCTTGGTTCTCTGTTATTTATGCTTGTGTTATGTCACACTCATGATAACTATAACTTCATGAGTAAATCTTGAAGTCTTATTTGTGTAATTCTTACAAGTTTATTATTCTTGCTCAAATTGCTTTGTCTGGTCTATGTCCTTTACATTTCCATATAAATGTAAAAATCTGTATGCTAATCCCAAAACGTCAGGATTTGCAGGTAATTAATGTACTAATAATGTTGGGTTTTCTGATCCATGAACATTGTATATATTCCCATTTTTTAGGTCTCTAATTTTTATCAGCAGTGCTTTTAAATGCTCACTCCAGAGATCTTGTACATGTTGTGTTAAAATTCATTTCTAAGTGCTTTATATGTTTATTATTTGGTATTGTTACAAATAAAATTACATTTTGAATTGTTATATTTTGCAGCTAGAATATAAAAGTGAAGAATATGTTAATTAGCTTGGTTTAATCATTTCACAAGGTCAAGTATATACCAGAACAACACTTTGTACTCTATAAATATATGCAATTATTATTTTGCTTAGTGAAAAATAGGCTTGTAAACTCAAAAGAGTACAAGTGAGTATTGCATATTAACTTTGCATCCTTCAACAGCTAAATTCACTTATTCATTCTAGTGGTTGCTTGGCAATTGCTTTTGAATATTCCAAGTCATCTGCCAATAGAGATGTCTTATTTTCCAGTTTCTATATCTCTTATTTCTCTTTGCTGCTTTATCTCAAAGGATAAGACCCCTTATCCAGTATTGAGTCTAAGAGGTTCTTGATGTTAGAGGAAATGGTATTTTACAATGAGATGTGATTTTTAGCTCTAGGTCTTTATAGCTTCCCTTAGTCAGATTGTGGAGATTCTTTTCTATTCTTAGTTTGCTGATCTGAGCACTTATTTTATTTTTCTGTTCCAGTCTTAAGGCTTGAACTTGAGGCCTGGCTACTATCCCTGAACATTTTTGCTACCACTTGAGCTCTTTTGGTGCTTATTTGGAGAGAAAAGTCTCACGGACTCTCCTGTGGAGGCTGGCATTTAACTCCAGTCATCAGATCTCAGGCTGAGTAGCTAGGATTACAGGTGTGAGCCCCTGGTACCTGGTATACCGAGCACTTTTTATGATGAATGTTGAAATTTATTGACTGCTTTGTCTTTGTTGACAAATAATTCTATGGGGGTTTTTTCTGTACTCTGTTTATATGGTGAATTACATTGATTTTTAGAGTATTAAATGAATCTTGGAGTCTTGTCATAAGCCCCAGTTGGTCTCAAAACATTATCCTCTTATCTATTGCTAAATACCATTCACTAAGATTTGGGGGAGAATTTTGCACCTGTATTTGTAAAGAGGATTATTCTATTGCTTTCTTTTTTGTGTTTTTGTTGGGTTCTTCTATTTGGGGTCATGCTGGTCTTATATCAAGTTGGAAGGATCACGAAAATGGTTTATATGAATGAGATTCATATAGAAGGGGGGAGTCAGTTGTTGATCTGTGAGTTGGGAGTAAGTACACTAGGTTTGTCCCACTAAATGTGCCAGGCAGTATGTTCTGGAATCTGTCAAAGGCCCTGAAATAATGGAACAAAGATAGTGCTCTGGTGAGGCTTATATATCGATGAAAACAGAATCAGCAGAAAGTGAAGCTAAATCATACCCTCTGCTAAATGAAGTTAACTTAGAGCAATTGGTTTAGACATAAAAGGGTTTGGTGGTTCTATTTCATACACAGCTTTTCCTTTAAAATATTGCTTTTCTTTTTGTGATAACATCAAGAAGAAAAACTTAATTAATAGTTTGTATACTTTAAACAACTTTAAAAAAGTAACAACATTATGATAACAGAAAGGTACACTCACTCAAACTGAGACCCAGGAGAGAAAAGAAGAAAGCTACACTCTAGGCCAATGTTTTAAGGCTTGCATTTTATTATTAACTACTTTCAGAGGAAGTAGCTGTCCTATGTTAACTTGTTAATTTTATTATGTTATTTAAAACTTATGAACACAAAATCCTCATTTTTCTACAAAAGTAACACATACAAATTCAACAATAAGCAAATGAAAGTCTGAAACTCAAACTAATGATACTAGTTTGAGGTCAAGGATGATTTGTTCTGCAAAACTACTTTGACGCTAACCGTATTGGTGTAGCCCTCTCCTCTCTCACCAGTTTTCTAGCCTCTGGTAATTTTTCAACTGTCCTTGTCAACTGGGGTTGCATGTAAAAGAGTCCTTGAATCCTCAGAGGGGCTTTAGGCCTGAGTGGACCTTGCTGGGCTGTCTGATTCTGCAGCTGTGTTTGCTCCACAATGGTCTGCTGTCCCTCTGCCTCTTTGACCCTCTCTGGAGGACCACTGAACACCTACTTGCCATCTTCAGTGAGCCATCTTTGTGGATGACTCTGGAAGGTTTCCGTTCACATCACTCTCTCTGTAAGAAAACCTTTCTCTATAGGTCTGGAGCTTAATTCTTTGTCCATTCACTTGTAACTTTGCCATTTTGTTGTGGTCCTGACCAGCACATCGAGCCATCCAGTAGACCCAGCTCCTCCATGCTCTTCTCTAGACTGGACTGCCCAAGACCAGTCCCACGGTGGTGGGGCGCTGGTCTTCAGGCAGTGTAGGCACAGAAGGTTTGAGCAGAAGACAGCATATGCTTTAGCCCTTAAAATTCGATCCCCAAATTCTAACTAAATTTTCCTCATTGGAAACTTCAATACTCAAAGAACCGACGTTTTGTATGTGGTGTGTTAAGTGGTAATTGAGGTTTGCGAATTTTTTATTTGGTTTATTCTGATTTTCTTCCAATGGCCTGTGAGCAGAAACTTAAATACAGCTTCGTTGTAGTTGCTTCTTCCTGTTTAGAGAGGCTGGCATAATATTTTGTCTTCTGGGCTCAAATAACCATGTAATTACTCTGTAATCATATAGTAATTAGTATGTACTATATGCATTTATTACATAATTATATTCCTGGAGGATTGCATGGCAATTATACTTTCATTCAGCATATCATTTTATATACTGTATCACGAACAAGTATATAATTGGTTGCTGTTTTCTTTGATCCTAATTTCAGTTTGCTGGGCAGGAGCTGGGGCTGTTTTCCTGTCGCCTTGTTTGCTTGTAGCTGGGCAGGTGCCTGAGTCCCTCTGTCCTCACTCCATGGCTCCTACTTAGACACTGAAGCAGTACCCGGGGGGGCTTGTGTGCTGTAGCAGATTCCTAGCATCTCCCGCTCTTAACACACTTCCTCCTTGCCATGAATCATTCAAGTATTAGCTTCAAGATGCCTTGGAGTTCTAGAGCTGCCAGCGTGGCCCAGTGGATGCTCAGCTCTCAGTGAACGCAGAGCAGGTGTGGAGCCAGCGCCATGTTCACCCCTGTCTTTCTCTGCTTTGCAGTGGAGCATATTCCCAAAGGGAACAACTGCCTGGATGCGGCCAAGGCCTGCAACCTGGATGACACCTGCAAGAAGTACAGATCTGCATACATCACCCCCTGCACCACCAGCATGTCCAACGAAGTCTGCAACCGCCGCAAATGTCACAAGGCCCTGCGGCAGTTCTTTGACAAGGTCCCGGCTAAGCACAGCTATGGAATGCTCTTCTGCTCATGCCGGGACATAGCCTGCACTGAGCGGCGACGCCAGACCATCGTGCCCGTGTGCTCCTATGAAGAGCGGGAGAAGCCCAACTGCTTGAATTTGCAGGACTCCTGCAAGACAAATTACATCTGCAGGTAAGCACGCCGGCAAGGCCATGATTAATGACGCTCGGCCCTGGTGGCGGCTGAAGCTGCCAGGCTTCAGCTCCCTGGGTGTCTCCCAGGCCAGAGGCAGTCCAGGGCCGTTTCTCTGAATGCATTAGGAGATCTGACTTCCACCTCACCAACATGGCTCTTATTTGTGGTTTCTTGGTTGGTTGGCATTACTCAATTTAAAGTTGTGACCCACCACTTGAGCCTTTTGTTTAAAGTAATTGTTTCATTTTTAGATAAGTCTTGACACTTTCTGTCCTGGACACTATTCCTGGAGACAAGGCCATGCTAACTTCTTTATTTTTTGAAGGGGGGTGGGAAGTCCTGGGCTAGCTTCATATCAAAATCTTATCTCCACCTCCCATGTAGCTGGGATTACAGGGATGCATTGCCATACCTGCTTTAAAATACATACTTCAGAATGAGTACTTCTCAGGTCATGGAGCCACCTGGGTGAAGAGAACTGCAGGCATGCGCCCATTCTTCAAGACCTAAGTGGCTTCCAGGGGTCAAGCAACTCAAGAGAGGAGTTATAGCCAGAGACATGGAGTCTCTCAAATGTTCAGTGATAGAAAACTGGAAATAAGGAGCCAATGGGAGTGAGGGCTGTCCAGCCTTGGGGAGGGAACCATTGAAAACAGCCAGATCTGTTCCATTTTGTGGCTAGAGAGATCACACCTTCCAGCTCAGCCCCTCTTCCAATCCACAGACTCCATCAGAGGCTGAGCATTACTGAAAACATACACTTATTTTTCCTTCTTGGCCATTTACTGTTATATTTCAATGTGTGAAGAAGTCTGTGGACACATTCTTCATGTGGAATAAAAGAACGTAGGGTTGGGGTGAGTGAGAAGTCCCCTTCGGCTCAGCACACAGGGGACCAGTGTTGTGTGGATCATTTGATACATGCCCTTCCAGAACTTTGGGGTTGAGTTCAGTTGTTGATCAAAGCAAGTAGATTTTGATAAAAGATACGGAGCCTTTGCAGACAGGCTGCATTGGTGCCTTGTTCGGAAAAGCAGGCCCAATCCGGGGCTGGGGATTCAGGCAAAGCCTCACATTCGCTAACACCTATTCCTCAGGGCAGGATCCAAGAGGCTTCCATGCCAGCCTGACTTAATCCTATATGCTCAATAATTGTTAGGCAGGTGAGCAAGGAGATGAGAGTGTAACTAGGCACCTGTTTTCTTATACGATCCTCATTGTGAAAGCCCAAAGAACATGTGGGCACTGGTGGCTCATGCTTGTAATCCTGACTACTCAGAAGACTGAGCTCTGAGGATCATGGTTCGAAGCCAGTCTGGGCAGCCAAGTCTATGAGACTCTTTTATCACCAATTAAGCACCCCCAAAAAACCTGGAAGTAGAGCTATAGCTCAAGTGGTAGAACACCAGCCTTGAGCGAAAAGCTAAGGAACACCACCCAGGCCTTGAATTCAAAACCCCATATTGGCACACACAGAAAAAGAAAAGACAGCAAGATATATATATATATATATACAGATAGATAGATAGATAGATAGATAGATAGATAGATTATATGTATATATATATATATATATATACATACACATACATATATGTGTGTGTGTTAAGGAATCTGGTTTTATGAGTTTCTGTTCAGTTTGCTTTATTCTGGTATAATGAGGTTCTGTTCCTTAAACCAGCTCTAATAGTAACCAAAGAAATGTAAAATCCTCACTATCAACCCTCATTTGAGTGTGATGTTCCTTCATCTGGTTTAAGAAGCTTGAGGCAGTGCATCTGCTGTATAAAGAGGGGCTCAGGTGGCCAAGCATCACATGGACAATTCACATAGTAGGAGTCAGGTGTTCCTGAAGTGCAACTCCTCCAAATCCTCTTCCCTCTTCTTCTTTTTGTCCAATTCCTGGGGCTTGAACTCAAGGCTTGGGTCTATCCCTGAGCTCCCTATTGCTCAAAGCTAGTGCTCTACCACTGAGCCATAGCACCACTTCAGGCCTTTTCTGAGTAGTTTATTATAAATAAAAGCCTCACAGATTTCCTGCTCTGGCTGGTTTTGAACCATGATCCTTGGATCTCAGCCTCCAGAGTAGCTAGGATTACATGGGGGAGTCACCAGGCCCAGCTTCCTCCTTACTCTCTTAGCCACTAGTCCATTCTGCTGTAGTGACTGCGGGCTAGGAGCATAGATGGGTGTTTTGGAAGTAATCATGGTAAGAGGCAGGACCTCAGCAGGCCTGAAATCCAGGAAACCAGTCAGCCAGGAAGTCTTAAGGAGCTCCCACCACAGGTGAAACCAATAAAGAGCAAAGGGAGAGAAATTGGGAGCCTGGCTCAAGATGCACACATGGGAAGAAGCAGGGATTCTGAAAATCCTAGGACTCACACCACCAAACACTAGACCAATGAACCTTTATGTGTACATGTGTGCCAATACTGGGTGAACTCAAGGCTTTCATTGGGCTTTTTCTCCTTAAAACTATACTCTACCACTTGAAACACAACCCTACTTCCAGCTTTTTTTGGTAGTAATTGAAGATAAGATTCTTACATATGGAGGGAAGGGATGGTAAGGGAAAAACTAAGGAGGGGGTAACAATGCTTGATATGAAATGTACTCATTACCTTACTCACGTAACTGTAACTCCCTTGTAGAGTATCTACAAAAAAAAAAGGTATTTAAAAAGATTTTTACAAACTTTTCTGCCCAGGAAGGCTTCAAACTGAGATCCTTACTGAAAGATTAAAGTTTGAGGCAGTGACCACTTGTTGCTTTTTTCTGTCTAGCAAAGCAACACGTGGTGGTAATCCAAATACCTGGTTGATTGTGTGCCTTTATAAGACCTGCTGCCTTTATAAGACCTGCAAATCCTTAGCTCGGGGCTCTCCTCCTAGGCTCCGCTGTGTCCAAGTGTAGGATGAGGCCCGAGCTGCAGCCCATTGAAATAAAACAGCTGTAGAGTCTGACTCTTGGTGGTCTTCTTGCAGGGAGGGGGGAATTGGGGGATCCTGCGACCTTGACATAACACTTATATTTCAGCCTCTTGAGTAGCTAGGATTACAGTTATGAGCCCCTGTGCCTGACTCTGTTAACCTTTGAGCAGAAGGAAATTCTCTTTCTGTAAGTAGGATTTAATTTCTAGAATCTTATTGGCTTAAAGTCGGACAGTTTCTCCCTAAGATGCTCTCCTGCTTACTGTTATATCAGAGGTCTAGCCTAGACTTTTGGTCCTACCAGGAGAAGGAAGGCTATAGGAGGCAAACTGGAGCAGTAGATCAATTTCTGCCCATCCAGAAATGGTCAGGAAGTAGGAGAGATGGTAGAGCCTTGTCTTCTCACAAATGTATCATATAGTGACTCCAGGAGAAGATCTGTGACCCTCCTACATGGGTCCAAAGCTGATTCTGAGCAGTTAAATTGCATTCCCTGCCTTGCTCTTCTAAAAAGAGACTCCTCAGAGGGTTGATATGAATTCCTTAAATCAGATTGCTTTCTTGCTAAGCCAGGAAGAATAGCTGAGAGTTTGGGGACTTGGAGGGTGCTGGTAGAGGAAGAAACAGGAACCTTCAGATAATAGGATGGTTTAGCTATTCTTCTGGGGGCTCATACTATCTTGGTGGAAGATCATTTTCCATGAATTAATAGAGATGCCCCTAAGAGCAGGAATAGACCCACTGATGGGAAAGAAATGTGAAATGGGCATAAGACAGCCCTTGCGTAGTAGCTGAGCATCTCAATCAAGTATCTTGGCATAGAGCAGACGGCAGCTTCGGGCAATGGGGTGAAGGCTTCCTGGACTGAGTTGTACCTCAAGACAGTGTTTGTAGTATGGTCACGTTTCTAGCTTTGGGTGTGACTGAGAGACTATTTGAGATCCAGAGCTAGGGTGCCCAGGGGCCTTACCAAGGGAAAGCTGTCTCCATGTGATTGATGGGCTTTGTGTCCTGTCTTGAGTCTTTTCTGGGGAGGTGAATCAGGGACTTCCTTTGGTGTTACCCGTTGTTATGTTATTTAGTTGGTAATTTCTTTCCAGAGCCTAGACTTATTACTCATGATTACCCCCTCCCTGCCAAAGTGGTAAATGTAATTTGAGCTGCTAGGTTGGCAAGTGATGTTTTCTTCCATGAGATTTTTAGTAATCTTGTCTTTAATTTTATGCTTTTTATACCCTCCCTTCATCCATCTCAAGGAGGCAGCTGGGTGGCTACCCAGGGCAGCGGCTGGTACTGGCGAAAGCCAGGGTTCTTCCAGTTCTCTGCTAAAGACCTTCTCCCCTCCTTCCTACCGCTATGATGCTTAAGGCCTCATCTGAATATTCCCCACAGGAAGAGATGGCAAGAGAGAAAATCGCATCCTAAACACCACGCTCTTTGAAAGCTCGCACTTTCCTTTTTAGCATCACTGCCTATCAAAGAACAGCTCAAGCTCATTAAAACTTCCCCGAAAGTAAGATTTTCCTGTTCGCGGGCCTTCAGGTTTCTTTCCCCAAGGTCCCACGGTGCCTCGGCACAAAACCCAGCTCTCCTCTGCCTTCTGCCTTCAAACAGATGAGAAACAACTTGAGCTTTTCCTTTTGACTTTGTTTTCTTTTTTCCTTTTTCTCTTTTAGGAAAGCTGACAGGTTCTTTGCCTCTTGGGGTGCTAGGGGAAGGCTTGAGCTTGACTGTTCAGGCCTCCAAGCTTGTCTCCAGCAAAGCACGCACTGAGGTGTTATTAGAAGGCTGTGATGAAACTTAAAAGCCTCACACCTCTCCCCAGGAGCACACTGTCTCCCCTGCCAGTTTTGCTCTGCTTGCTTTCCTTACTGCCTGGAAGGATGAATTTGGCCAGAAGGAAGTATGCGTCTTTGTTCCTGATGCAAATTGTTTCATACACATAGACATATGCCTTGCCTTGCTTTCTCCCAAACTCTGACATTCAGGAAAACCTTTGCACTTATGCACTGACTTAGGATGCCACAGATTTGTTTCTGTCCCTTTTATTTTCCTAATTAATCACTC